TTGATAATATGACTTAGAGCATAAATGGTTCACTGCACAGTTCCAGAGCAGCACCTACCACCCAAGGAAGAAAACAAAATCCTCCAGAAGCAATGCTATTTACTCATGAACAGGCAGCACGTATTGCTACACTGTCACCAAAGAAATGGTTCGAATTCTCACCATGTGTACCCCTGTGCCATCTCACTGAAGTCTCTGGTATAGCTCGTGTAACTCCATACAATCGCTGTAGCAGAGCTGTCCCACGATAACAGCAGTTAATCCACAGAACAGGCAAAATGGAAAGCAAAATCTCTGAATCTGCCAACAGTGAATTTATTGGCTTTTATTTGCCAAAGCTGCCATGGGTGAAGTATAGGAAAATGCATCCACAGTCAGCCTGCAGTGCCTCCAAGACAGTCTTCCAAGCCCAGCAGAACATACTTCAATAGTTCTCTCATTTGTTTCTTATCCCAAAATGCTTGTGAGCCCAGCAGTTTATGAAACAATCCTTTTATAACAAATAAATAAAAAAAAAAAAGAGGGGTTTCTGGGGACCACTCTTAACACTTCTGTATCTCCATCTCAATAGCTGTATTCAACCCGTTCTGCTCACTGCTTAGTCCCAATTACAATAAAAGTATTCAATTTCCTCTCTGATTTCCCTTCAACAACAGATTGCAACTTGTGACACTTTAAGCTAATTTTGGTAGCTCATTTAACACACACTGAAACCTGAATATGTTCCCAAGCTCTGGCTCATTACAATAAGGGATGGAGAAAGGAGATGAAACCTCTGGATATCGAGAACCTGACCATGATTACTGCCGGCTGAAAACTTGGTTTGTCCTAGCAGTCTTGGAGTACAGCTAGAATCTTTAGTGAATGATTAATGGACTATAGGCAGATCAATGAAAGTCTGCCCTAAATGTATTTGAACCAACTTGGGTGAGAGTCAGAGAAGTCTAACCAGCCAGTATCCTGTAATTTGCAACTTGATGTAGTGAAACAGCATAATTCATCTCATTTACTGTGGCTGGTTTCTCTAACCTGAGTGGTTATTTTTTTCCCTTCCCTGCTTCCTACTCAGCATTAAAGTTATTATGTGGTAAGTTGGCCTCCAACATCCATTTTCATATTGAGGAGAACCTTCCTCCATTGGTAACCCCTCTGAGTCCAAGAACTGAAAATTCAGGTTTATATTCATTGCTGGTGAATATACTCAGCCACTTATCAAGAGAATATTAAGCTTCCCATAAAGCACTTTACAGTGATAAGTCTTGGAGATATTTAAATTCTGTCACCAATATTGAACTTCAACATTATTTCTTATCCCTGATTTCTGTAACCAGTACAGTCACTTACTTCCAGGAATAACAAAGACTGTAGAACATATTCTCATCTTTCTTGCTGGATGATGAGTTGGCCTCAGTAAAGTTGTTAATGATGTAAAATAAAATGCAAATTAAATAGCACAATCAAAATCTAGCTATTAAAAAAATAGGCAGGCAGTATATGATACTAAGTACCATCCTTTTGCTTACATTGTTAGATAGATAATACCAACATATTATAAATATAATAAATCACAAAGAGCTGTTTCTGTAGTCATGAGTTTCTCAAACTATGGGTCATTACCTCCATGGGGATTCAGGAATGAATTTGAATGGGGTCACAAAAAAACGGTTAGCAAGAAGTGAGGGCACATATTTCCCCCTAAGTTGAGCAGCCTAGTCTTGTGGCAGGGGAACAGGAGAGCAGACTGTAATTAGTGGCTGCAAGTATTTATACTTGCTAGGGAACTGCTAACTACCTTTAATTACAACAGCTCACTTTCTCCAGGAGAGGGAAGCAATATAGGCTAGAATTAAAATTGCTGGATAGTTGCTAACTGCCTTTCATTGCAGGCAATAGATCTGTTTCTCCAGGGAGGAAGAATAAACTTGTGACTGGATCTTATTCCCCCATCATTTAGAAATGGGGCCATTACCAACTCAGGGAGTCACACAAATATGCAATCAAACATGGTTGTATTTTGACTGTAAGAAAGAAATCAATAGTCTCATTTAGAGAATGTGTGACCACCAGGCAAAGACTGAGGCACCCCATGCAATCTGCATTGCATCTTGGTGAAGAAGGATATTTATTAAAGGACTTAAAATGAGAGGGTAATTGAAAAAGTAGAATGATCTCACTGAAAAGCATTTGTGCACTTCTCTCTGCTGCCCTGCCTGTCATCTGAACTCACTTTCTTGCCCAGAAGGGAATCATCTTTTCAAAGCTGTCAGCAACTGGATGCACCAAGCTGGAAACTGAAGATTGGCACTTGAGGCTGCAGTCCCACACCATGTGTCCTGGCTCAATTAGCACAATAAAAGTCTTCTCCTCTTCCCTCTTGAGGGCAGCTTTCCTCAAGCCTGGAAGAGAAAGTATCCAGCACTTCTCCCTCTCAAAATTAGGGATTTTAGGGAAATAGAACAGTGATATGAACCCTACATCCCATGTTAGGGGTTTTTAGTGTCATCAAAGTCCATTTTTGCTTTCCTGAGGTCTCTGCAATGTCCATGAAGCCTGTGGCTGCAGGGCACACTTCAGTGCCTTCTGGCTACCACAGACACCATGTGCCTTGCTCCAGGAGTGCTCTGCAGCTCCAGACAGGAGTGGAATTGATGTCAGGTGAAAGCAACCCTGCTGATGGACATGACCATACATCAGCAGCAAAGGTCTCTGCTGCACTACCCCCATGATCCCATTCCTATTCTCACACTGCACCCTGTGATGTGACATCTTCTCCCTGGGGAAGCAGCTCAGAAAAGTGATGCAGATTAAAAATAATAAGGGGGAAATGAAGGGGGGGGCGTAAATTAGGAAAACTGTTCTTTTTTGGCTGAATCAGTTTTCCAACCTATTGTATTGTACAACCACATGAGCACCTGTGGTGACCTGAGCCAAGAGTGGGAAACATGGTAAGCGGCTTAAACAGCACTGCCACGTAGTGGCTGCATGTGAGGGAAAGACTAGCCCTAGCTGCTGGTGGAAGAGGAGAAGGAGAGGTGACCTGAATGAATGGTGTCTGCACAACTTGGCCATGGAAAAGGGCTCTGATAGTGCAAGGAGGCTCCTGAGTTTTGCAGGCAAAAGTGTAACATAGCACAAGCCTCAGCATCAAAGCTGCGCAACTTGAAACTCCAAATGCACATAGCTTCCTGCTAGCGAGGGTGATTAGGTGTGGGAGGAGGGGAACCTGTGTTGACCCAGGGTGTTAAAGAAGAGGTTAAGCCGTAAGTCATTCTGAAATCTAAGATCTGGGTCTCTCCTGTGCTTGTGTGCAAGACGTGAGATGAAATTGTCCTAATGAGGCCTTTTGGGGAGGAGATAGGAAGAATGATGCCACCCCATTGGACTGGAGAGTGGCAGCTCTCTATTTAAAGACTGTCCCGTACTCAGTGGCTGGATGGCATGGATGGTGGTGTATCTAAAGAGCATGCAAATAGTATGACCTACTGGAAACAGTGAAAAATACCAGACTCACCATATTATTTTCCTAACACTGAAAACAGTGTGTTCATGGCACACTCCTGCTGAGGTGGTAGGACTTTCCAAGCCCTTCCCACAGGTTCTCTGCCCACTGCAGAAGGTCAACACTAAGGAAAAACCCTCCTGCAAGCCATTCCACTCTGTCTTCTGACAATTTGATATGTGGCACATGGCAAACTACATCACCCCAGGGAACCCAGGAGGCACAAGTTATTCCAGAAACTTCACAGAGCAGAAATACTGATTCAAAAATCAACTGGAAACTCTTCCCACTCCTGTCAGATCTTCAGGGATCCATTCTGAGGATCTTTTCACACCTTTTTTGTGAAATGCAACATAACTGCAACCACAAATCAGGTTCTATCAAGTTTTCCTTTGCAACCTGTCAGAAACATTTTGACAATCCAGAAGGGTTACCTCCATGCTCTCTAGTGCTGAGCAGGATGCCTGTAAGCCATCTACCTCTTTTGGGAATAAGGATGCAGCCCCCAGCCTGGAAAGCCAAGAAGAACAGTTTCAAAACGTATTTACTAGTAACTGCAATGAGAAAATCGATGTTTAATTCCCTGCCCCTTGAGTCTCCATAAGTCATTCTTAGCTCTGTGTACCTTCTGTGCCATGTGAGGCACAGCCTGGACAGGTACAGCTGGGAAGAGGACACTCTGGACAGCTCCAAGTAGAATGAAGGCTTTAAGGCGGATTTTCAAAATGTTATGGATTTCATCTTTGCTTAGCAGCTGGTTACTGTGCCAAAGCCATGAATCACATCACTTGAAGTGATTGAAGGAGGGGAAAGAATAATAATAATAAAGTGGCAAACTAGCTCAGGGATAGGCTTGGGAGTCCTATTAAACTTGAGAGGCTACAATTTCTATTCCCAGACCTTCTGGTTAACACAAGAAAAAGCATCATGCTTCCCCACCCCATCGAAAGAGTTGTACTAGGCAAAAACTGAAGAGCAAACCAGCAACAGGTCAATCCTGTACTGTGTAGGCAAACGCTGCCAGCAGATTAACATGGCAGCACTCAGGAGAAGTCTGCAGCAGCTCTGGCAAGCTTTGCAAAATTTATAATTCATCGCAAATGGAACAAAATATGTGATGTTTGTTTCTGTGGAAGAATGGGAGGAGACTAATGGTAAAGGAGAGGGAGTGGGAGTGCGGAAGCGGGGAGAGGGGAAAGCAGAGAACCAAGCCCTGGCGAGTTTTCAGGGACCCGCAGAAAAAATTGTGTAAATGAGTAGTTCAGACCTCAAATACCATGCAGTGCTTTGACAATCTTCTGGGTTTTGGCATTTTAAACAAAGTGTTCTTACATTTACTAGACTGGAATGCCATTTGACTATAGACTCTCTGCTACTTTGCTTGTACTTTAACATTTTGGACACATGACAAAAATGTGTGTAATGCATTTTTTAAAGTGTTGATTGTGCTCGTAATTTTCAAGTCAGAATATAAAATAAACATCTCTGCCCTTTCTTCCAGCAGGCAGCACAGAGATCTGCTCTCCGCGTTCTATCTGACAGGTACATTTTGTCATTTTTATGAACTATAAATTGCTTTATGAAACGTTGAGCCCTATTTATTGTGGCATATAACTCATAATCGGATTTTGTCCCCAAAGTATCTGTGAACTGGGATGTTAAACATTTTGCATGCTTGGATTTGTCATGCATGTGTAGAGTTTATTACTGCAAAAAATCACGGTCTTGTTGTATTTCATACAGAGTATGCAGAATGCCTTGTTGTGATACCAAACAAGAGATAAGAAACTTACTGGAGAAGGCATGAATGATGCAGTAAATTCTGAGCTTTAGAGTTTGCTGAGATATATCTGAGCTCATTTTTCAGCAATAAGTACTTCATTTATTCCGAGATGTTCTCTTTTGACTTTTTCCAAATCCTTTCTCTGGGAATTACACTTCTTTTGATGAGATCCTCTATATGGTTTATGCACAAAAACAATGCCCTTTTTTAGCCCTTAAGTTTTAAGGGATTGGTATTTTGGAGGAATGTAATTAATTTTTTCACTTCTTCTGGAACCGCAGCAGTGCTCCAGGCAGATAAGCAGGGGATCTAATCCTTAGACAGTGTTCAGGTTTTACTCAGCTCTTTTTCAAGCAAAAATCCATTAACTTCAGTGGGAAACTTGTCCAAGTGAGGAATTCAGGATTTGGGCCATAGTAAATGTTATAGTTGGGCTGTAGGTCTGCACAGGTATTTACCTTAAATGACTTTTATGAAAGAGGATTGATTGAAACATAAGGTAGCTTTCTAAGACGGTCCTGATTTCTTTTCCAGTTTTGGGAAATGGGGGAGGGAAGGGGGAGGAGAGACTGTACATTTTAGTGCCTGTGAAAAAGAACTAGCAGATTTACATTTTTCCACAAATGAGGTACTGTGTCATGCAGGCTGACACAGAGTAAATTTCCCCATGCCTTGTTGGCAGCCCCCTCTGCTCCGTCTGGCCCCCAGCCCCCCGCCTCCCTGGGAATAAGCGGTAATTGACTCTGGAAGCCAGCTCAGGCCAGGATTTCTCCAGAGCAGAGCCTGTCACTTAGGCTGAATTATATGTTGTGCATGGATGAATAACATTTCTCTCTGCTCAGAGGCTAAGACCGCCAAAATTATCGACTTTCCCTTCCCAAATTTACAAACACAGTTTTGTTTAGAATTTTTTGCCCCCCCTTTAAGGAAAAAAAAATTCCCCAGTGAAATGTATGGGATGCTGGTGAAATTGCTGGCACGGTTGTAGGGCACAGAAGTATTTGCTGTAACTGGAATGAATGGGAAACAAAGAGGAGTTGGAGTCAGCATTATGCCCCTCTCCCTGGAGGTGTGCAAACTCACCCCTAAGGCAAAGCAGATTTTGCTTTTGGTGGGGACAATACCATGACCAAAGGAAACACGGGGATTTTTTTCTCAGTATCCTTCCCCTGAGCTGAATGAGGAACATTTCTACAGAACTGCCCCTGGAGGTAACTAACAAGCCCCAAACCCTGCAGCTCACTTTCTGTCTCCCCTAGGAAGAAAAGTGGTGGTGATGGACAGATGGTCCCTACCTCATGGAAGGTGGTGAGGGAGCTGGACACAGACTGCCCTCATCCACAGGGCAAAAAGGCTTCAGTGTTAACCATCACACCTCAGTATTTATCATCAGATAAATGTCCTGTCTGCCCCTAGAAGCATGCCCAGGGACTACAGCTTTCTCACGTGCTCTGCCAGCATTCGGTGCTGGGGCACCCTTCTGCCCCGGCTTCTGGAGGGGGTGCTGGGAAGGCGGGGGTGCATCCTGGAGGTTGCCTCGCTGCCACCCCTAACCTCACTGCAGCAAGCAAAAGCAAGGGCAGGGGGCCAAAATCCCACACTGTGACAGCAGCTTCTATCTCTTTTTGGCTAAAGGGAAGATGCCTGTGATACCACTGCTCATTAGTTGTGTCCTAGTAGCAACTGAGAGCTCCCAGTCACACAGCAACACTTCCAGTACCAAGGGAGATGGCAGCTTATATAAAGCTTTCAGTAATTTTGCCCACTATTTAAAAAAAAAAATACTCTCCAGCAGTTCCTGTTGCAGTTCCTGCTTTCAGTTTCTATTAACAAGCTAACAGCTAAACTAAAAGAGGAGAAAAAAAAAAAAACAAACAAAAAGAGAGTTTTTAAACTTGTAGCCATTGATTTCTGTAGTGTATCACACTCAGTCTTGTTTTCAGAATGACACAGTAACCCCCAGCAGATTTATGTGCAAACACAAAGATTAGTGACCCAGAAGCTTGACTGAAACAGCTTTTCTGTTTCCAGAAGACAGGTTGCTCTGCACATGCACCGACTATTTTGTGAGAAAAGATGCACTGGCCCCATTAGCTTTTCGTTTCTCATGAAAAGCCTTCGGCGTTTATACAGCGCAGCTTGGTTTTAATTTTATTGTACTCTCCAGGAAAGTGGTCTAACTCTACAGATTACTCAGTTTCTGGGACAGAGAAGAGCAAGATCTTAACTCATATACCTTAATGGTATAGTGCTGGCATATTTTCAGTTGTCTGACTCTCATACCCACTGCCTGAATGGCTTTCAAATGAATAAAAATGTCTGTAACTAAAATATTCAGTGTGTTCTGTTGTTATTTAACAGTAAGCACTGTGGTTAAGCCAGGTCTTAAACTTGCTTAATCCCGCTGAGCTAAATAGATTTTATTATTGACTCCCATGGTTCCAGAACTCTGACCTTAAGGCTGAAGTTAAAAGTTAAGTTTTTTGTAGCCTGTTCCACTAACCCAGAACCACTTGCTTGCTGGATATATTTGCAGTGGAGAATGTCCAGCTGTAAATTACAGCTGTTTGCAATCATACCCAAACATAACACTCATTATTATTCTTTTGTTCTTTTTAGGCTGAAAAGCCCACCATGAGGGAGACCGCACAGTACTTAATCCACACATTAAATTTACTCACAGCTCATATTCATGTGCAAGATAAGATTTTCCATGAAGTAAAGATTTACAATGGTCCTAGGGCATTTTTATTCCTCTGGCTGCTTTTATTTCTCTGTGCTGGAGTGTAGGCCAAATGGTTCTGCGGAAGACTTTGAATGCTTAGAGGAAAGTGTTGTACCACCACTGAATTTACAAGGCAAAGATAGGTCCTCCACTGCACTGCTTGGGTGGTGCTTGGGTGGTACTTGGAGATGTGCTTACTTCCCAGGTGCAGTCTGTTCTCCTTTCTGTGTACTTACACTGGAGGATGCAGGCAGACCCCGCTAGCTCTGCCCATATGGGTCTCAGTGCAGGCATGTAAGGTATGAACCCACTCATCCCAGCAGCCATATGGCTGTGCTGACAGGCCTGCCCTTCCCAGCTGATAAGCCCTGTAAAGAGCCCAACTTGCTAGCTTACACTCAGCACCTGGTTCATATATACATGTCGTCCAGACCTCAGCTCTCAAGTACCAGCTATGAAAGCTTTTAGATTTACTTGTGCTGTTGACAGAAGGCGGCATCTCAGAACATCCATTTGGCAATGTAGACAAGCCCTGTTCATGATGGCTGGTGAACTATGCAGCCTGTCTGAGTTTCGGTCTAGGCAGAAAGGATAGTGCTTTGCATTTCCATGTAACCAGGCCTCATCTGTCCATGTCTGATCACGGTTAGGACACCAAAATGCAGGCCGTGCCAGCCATGAGCTGGTTTACCCTAATGAGACTGGCCACTAGCACTCAAGACCCTGAAGAGCTAAAAATTTGCCCCCTTGTCTACTGCAGAGGTGAAGGGTTTGGGGAGCTGAGAAGCAGGGGAGGCTCACATCTGTGGGGGGAGACACATTTGCAAGAAGAGGTGCTGCTGCATCGCCTCTTATGGGTGAGTGCATCCATTTAGCACTCAGCTGCAAGGAAAATAGAAAAGGTTGACCTGGGACAATCCAGTCCCTTCCCCTGATATTGTAAGCAGCCACAGGCTTGGTGATTAGTCCAGTGGGATGTGTAGCATGGTTCTTCTCTAGACAAAGCCACATTGAGATACACTGTTTGGGTGAGGAGGCCTGGGGAGGGACAGCCTGTAAAGTATTAAGGCAACAAAAAGAGGCAATTTAGACTTTTAATAGATCACTTAAGGCAGGGAAGGCAGCTGTCCAAGCAGCCTTAAAACTTTTGGTGGACGGTGCCAAAGTTTTCTTGTTCTCAAGTATCTGCTTGAGCTGTGATTATGCGAAGCAGTTAAACTTGTGATACCCTAAAGTAAGTAAATAGTGCTGTGGCAGCTAGCAAAAAGACTCATGTACTTCATGTCACTCACATACCTAATGTTTGTGTTGGACTGGTGTTTTTGATAACATAGCCTTTTACATCATGAGAGTTCTCCACATGAGAAGCTATGTGGTCGGCTTATCATCGACTCAGCTAGCTGGCTGGCCAGAAAGGCTTCGTGTGACAGGTCTGTGCAACCAGTGACAGTCGAGGGGAAGCCTTGGCTTGGGATAGCTGATCTGTGTCCCAGCAGACAATGACAGAACTAAGATCACGGGCTGCACAGGAGTCAAAAAGCTTGGCTGGAGAAGAGCATATGTGCACAGTGCTCACTGCCACAGAAGTAGACATGCAGCTCTCGCAGCATTAGCACATTGCTTAAGCTTTCTGGATTATCTTTGAGAGGAAAAAAGAATACCTGTGACAGGGACTATGTGGATTTATCAATTATGCCTTACATGAGGCATGTTGGAAATGCTGGTGTCTCACAGTTGCAGCCCTCTCACACAGTATAGGGTAGCAAAGGGTGGCTGCTACTTGGAATGGTCTAGAATTTCTCAGTCGTGATAGTTACAGAACTTGAAGGTGGAAGAGTAGTGACACATATTGTATACAGGATACTATTTCCAGTATTGGAGAATGTGGTGAATTAGTGAAAAGGGGCTTTAGAAGAAAAGGCTGTGTAGATGGCTTGGAGTGAAAAGGAATAGGTATCTCTGTAAAACTGGGACTCCATTTCCTTTTATTTAATTTGTAAGCAAGACCTGTAGCACTCGCCTATTAGCTGTTGG